TGGGGCGGTGCTGGGGACAGGACAGACACTGCGAAGAAGACGCCAAGGACAGCACGGGAGGCGGACGCGAGGATGAACGAGGCGAAGGAGGCGTCCGGAGGGCCGCGCGTCCTGGGGCTATGGGAACAGAGAGGGCGCGGGCAGAAGGACGCGGGCAGCTGCGGGCCGGAGGGCAGGGACGGCCGCCCTCGATGGAGTGCGTCTCTCACTCCACAGAATCCTCCGGGCAGGGAGAAGATGTCCCAGCTCAGAAGGCGGGCAACTTCATCCCCTGGAATTTAGGTGGCGACCGCAGGGTTGGGAAGTCCCGGCCCTGAGGAAGGGCCTGGTTGCTGACAAGGAGCTCGAAGAAAGCTTTCTTTGTCCGACTCCCCCAGCCAACAGCGTCCTCAGATGGGCGAGCTCCCAAATCATAGAGGGGGAAACTGAGGCTCAGAAAGGCTAAGCAGACGCCCAACAAATACTTATTAGAAGGTCAATAATGCAGATAATTCCATTTTGCGAAATTTAAGAACTCTCTGAAGCATCCCCAAATGCAAAAAGAGTGTTTTTTCCTGGTTTAGGGGCAGAACTATTCAGCTAAATTCTGCTCTGGACACAGGGGGTGAAGCATGGCCCGTGGCCAAACCGTATCTGGGTCACCGACCTTTGGATAATCTGCTGAAAGCCGATAACTGCAGACGATCTGGTTCGAACTTCTGGGTTCTGGGACTGGAGGCCTTCGCAGGGCTCCTCGCGCGTTGCGCTTGCGGGAGGGTCCCTGCTGGGTGGGATGGGAAATCCCCGAGCGACCCCAGGCCCGGCGCGCCGCACAGCCGCACAGCCGGTCAGGCTCCTCCGCAGGGCCACGCGGACCTTCTCTCGGGCACCCTCCCCGCCCTCCCCAGGAGAAGGTGCGTCTGGTGCTTTACGATTATTTAACAGATTGAGACAGATGGGGCTGGACGCGGTTCTCTATCCCTGTTAGCTGCTGTCTCCACTGACTGATCCGGGACCCTTGAGTTGGGCGCTGGCCTCGGCCGACTGATCAAACTCAGCCGGATGCGGCCGGATGGAGAAAGACCGATTTCTAGCGATGCGCAACCTCAGGGGCCGCGTCCCTGCCCCCCAACTGGGCGCACGCGGGGTGGGGGGGGCTCTTCACTCTGCAGCTCGCCGTTGTTAGTTCTATTCCTTTAGCATCCCGAGACAGGTTTTTTAAAAGTCCAATTTCTGCGTTTCTTATTTTAATTGAAAATTCAATATAAGCATATGATAACACGAATTCACTTGGAATAGTCCAGAAAGATGTAAAACAAGGCTGACTCTAAAAATCTATCCTGTAGGCAGCGCCCTTTTAAGCGTAATAAACCTCACGCTTAACCCTATGACCTATTTGCATTCTTACACAACTAGAGCCTGCGTGTCCTTTGCATTTTTTCACTGAACGCCAGGGATATTTTCCAGGACAATAACGATCGTATATATTTTCCTCATTCTTTTTAAGTGCTGGGTCGATTCCTAAGACAGGATCGCCTTTCATTTGTCGCTGTTTCTCATCGTACCTCCCGCGATCCAGTGCATAGAATCCTACCGGGTCCTGAGACAACCCGCACAGGCAGGCGCAGCCACACACCGCCTTCCGGAAACTGGCAGGAAGTCAGTTGGGTTTCCTACACCCTGAGAGTGTAGACCTACAAGCATCTAGACTTTAGGACAGAGCTCACTCAGTAAGCTGGGACTGGGTGGAGATGGAAAAGCCAGATTCTGCAGCACTTGGTCTGGCGGGAGATGAGAGGCAAGGTGTAGAAGGGGCAGGATGGGCCTTGGGATAGGTTCATGGCGGGGAGGGACTCCGCGGGCACAGACCACGTTCAGGCCTAGTGTCAGTGACTACATAAACGGGCAGTCTGCCGGGGGAGGGGGCGTCTTGAGGCCACCAAGTAGGCGCATGCATTCTATGCACCTGTACTCCCTGAGAAGAGGAAGTCATTCTACCATTTTGCAAATGGGTATCTGCGTCTCAGAGAGGTGAAGCGAATAGATGGAAACCGTGCATATGGTAAATGACACACTCGCTTCAAACTGTCCAGAAAGACATAAAACAAAAATATGACTGGAGCAAAGGACAGAAACGTGTTACTAACAAAAGCTTTGGGGCAAAGAGCCCAGGTGAGCATAAGGACCTCACTATCGCCCAGAGGCCAGGGCCAGAGCTACCCCCAGTGAAGGAAGTGAAAGGCTTGTATCCCAGACACCGCCCCTCAGCCCCAAACCCGCTGTCCCTAAAGGGAGGTGGGGCCAGAGCTGAGTACTTTACCCAACAGCTTCAGCATAAAGAGGGAGTTCGCTGAGAGCAGCGAGGGGTTGGTGTTGGGAAGAGTCCTGTGGGCAGAGGACAGGAGAAAAGCCTGAGGGGCAGGCCAAGAGAGTAGGAGCCAGAAAGGATTCTGCCCGAGGTGGGGGCGTAAGGTGCAGAATCATCTCGGTCAGAGTACGTGCCAGACAGCAAGCAGATCCTTTCTAAACCTGGTTGAGGGTCAGGAAACCCAAAGCTATACGTCCCAGGTCGCAAAACTATGTCTCGGGTCGGATGGGTCGTGAGCGGGAAAAGGGGATGCCGCAGCTGGCAGACAAGACTCCCGGCTCTGGACGGAAGGTGGGATGCGGTGGGCGATGCTGCGCTCCACAGGCCAGCAGAGTGAGCGCCAAGGTCGGCCGAGCCACCTCTTCCCCTACCCGGGCCCTGATCAGTAAAGGTTCCTGGATATCGGATGCCCAGGGGCCGCCCCCTCACGGTCGGGGCCCAGCTCTGGTTACCCGCCTAACCTGCTTCCTAAAATATGTATGAGACCCTTGCGGGTGCAGTTTCTCTGCCCCTCCCCGAGTCAGGTTGGGGGACTCGGGGTGCTAGGGGAGCTGCGGGGGGAGGAAGGGACGCTGGGTCCCAGGCCGCGGCCGTCTCGACTTTCAGTAGCGCATTTAAGAAAAGGTGGAAATAAGATCCGTCCCGGCGGTGCCCCCGCCCCACGGG